CCGAAATGGCGAATGCCTCCAGAGAGCCACGCCCCATCTACAAGCGTGAGAGCGGCTGACCCAGAGACTTCGAAAGGCAGCCGCACAAGCTGCTACGGCCTGCGCTAAAGACCCAAACCTCGCTAAGAGCGGCTGGGACGGATTCAGATCCTGTGTGGATCGGGCAAAAGGAGCCCTGGCTGCAGGCACATATAAACTCTGCCTCTATGTGTCCTGGCTTTCGGGGTGACTATCCCATCCGGGCCCCATTGCAGAGGACAGGTGGGGACGGGATGAGGAAGGTGTCAGTGCGGGGTACAGAGCAAGGAGCAGAGCGGGCTTGTAAATCCAACTGTCAGAGACGGGGGAAAGCCCCACTGGGAGCAGATCTCCAGCTGGTGCAAATCGGCAGATCCCGTAGAGAGACACGAGGACACCACCTGAGGATCTGTCCATCCAGGCTTCGCAGCAGCATCGCCCTCTCTCCTGCATTCCAGCACCCTGGCCACTCCACGGCTGAGGGACAAACAATGGGGCATCCAGCACTGCCTTTGGGGGGCGGTCGGCCAGACTGAGGATCTCCAAGGGCTCTCCCAGCACTCAGGGGGGCTCACAACTCCCACTTCAGCCCAGTTTTTAAAAAGAGGGAAACTGAGGCACAGTGACTTGCCCAAAGTTACACTGCCAGTAGCAGAGCTGGGAATGGAACCCAGGAGTCCCGACTCCCAATTCTAACTGCTAGACCCCGCTCCCTTCCCCGAGCTGGGGACAGAAACCAGGAGTCCTGACTCCCCCTCCCACTTACCAACATTGAACTATACTTTTCAGCTCTGCTTTTAAACCAACGTTACCTGGTGTCCTTGAGGGTGGACACTTCAGTGTTCAGGCTGGAAAGTTTTCTCTGCAGCATCCAGAGGGTTAAGGCGAAAAGGACGGAATTCATCTAGAATCAAAGTAGAGAGGTGGCAACATTTGCAGATACAAAATTGCTCAAGATAATGAAGTCCCAGGCAGACTGCGAAGAGCTACAAAAGGATCTCACAAACCCAGGTGACTGGGCAACAAAATGCCAGATGAAATTCAATGTTGACAAATGCAAAGTAATACACACTGGAAAACAGAATCCTAACAATACATATACAATGATGGGGTCTAAATTGGCTGTTACCACTCAAGAAAGATCTTGGAGTCATTGTGGAGAGTTCTCTGAAAACATCCACTCAGTGTGCAGGGGCAGTCAAAAAGCAAACCGAACGTTGGGAATCATTAAGGAAGGGATAGATAATAAAAGAGAAAATATCATATTGCCTCTATATAAATCCATGGTGCACCCACATCTTGAATACTGCGTGCAGATGTGGTCGCCCCATCTCAAAAAAGATATACTGGAATTGGAAAAGGTTCAAAAAAGGGCAACAAAAATGATTAGGGGTCTGGAACGGCTGCCATATAAGGAGAGATGAATAAGACTGGGAATTTCCAGCTTGGAAAAGAGACGACTAAGAGGGAATATGATAGAGGTCTATAAAATCATGACTGATGTGGAGAATGTAAATAAGGAAGTGTTATTTACTCCTCATAACACAAGAACTAGAGGTCACCAAGTGAAATTAATAGGCAGCAGGTTTAAAACAAACAAAAGGAAGTATTTTTTCCACACAACACACAGTCAACCTGTGCAACTCCTTGCCAGAGGATGTTGTGAAGGCCAAGACTATAACATGGTTCAAAAAAGAACTAGATAAGTTCACGGAGGATAGACCCATCAATGGCTATGGGCAGAGATGGTGTCCCTAGCATCTGTTTGCCAGAAATTGGGAATGGGCAACAGGAATGGATCACTTGATGATTACCCTTTCTGTTCATTCCCTCTGGGGCATCTGGCACTGGCCACTGTCAGAAGAGAGGATATTGGACTATGGACCTTTGGTCTGATCCAGTGTGTCTGTTCTTATGTTTGTATGTTCTTATCTCACTAACACTAATTTGCCTCAGGTTCCGGGGAAGGGATGTGATGGGCAGCTGGGGGGTCTCGACATGAGCAGAAGCAGAAATTGTCACCATCCAGAGCAAGTGTATTGCTGTCTGGTCTGATTATTCGGCCAGATCCCCAGCTAGTGCAAATCAGCATTGCTCCACTGAAATCAACCGAGCAATACTGACTTACGCCAGGTGAGGATCTGGCCCCATGATCTGAAGTCCCAACGTGATGCCACAAACTGGCTTTCACAGGATTGATCTGGTGGGTCTTATCATCCCATTCCCCGACTGGGCCAAAATCCTCCTTGGCATGTACTCCTTCGAGGTCAGTAGCATTACACCAGGGGATGAATTGGGCCCACAGTGCTTAGCAATAGACAAGGGAAGCCAGGCAGCGCTCCAGACATCACCGTGCCGAGGTGGGCAGCAGGGTCGAGCCGCAATGGATACGTACCCCGATGATGACACACACCGGCCCCAGGAAACTCCAGATGAACCCCTTCTCCATGCTGAGCCAGCAGCTACAAGAACAAAAGGTTAACGTGACATTCACTGAACATCAGCAGCCTGGTGCAGCGATTATCATTGATATTAGTGCTACCCGAAGAGGCTTCCACCGAGACTGGGGTCCCATTGGGCACAGCTACAGAGTGAGGGACAGACCCTGCCCCAGACAGCACCATCTAAATGATAAGACAGATGTGGGGGGAAGGGAAACTGAGGCAGAGAAGGGGGCGTGTGACTCATTTCGGGGAGTTCTCTGCCCTGTGTTATACAGGAGGCCAGACCACATGATTGCAGTCGTCTGGCCATAGAATCTATTAATTTTATTCAAGGTCATGGACAGAGGTCAGTAGCAGAGCCAGAGAGAGAACCCAGGTGTCCTGCGCCCCAGTCAACTAGATGCTAGAAACTGACTAATTCATTCATGAAGGACAGCAGCACAGCTGTCGAGACAGATGCCCACTGGTCCAGAGAGTCTTTCCCTGGGGAGCTCTGGGACACACACGACACACACAGAGCGCTACACACACAGTGCTGGCTTAAGACAGGACCTACTCTCTTCACTCCCCTTTTTGCACTCACACAGCGAATATGGCCTGCAGGTCTAACCACGGTACATCAAATTTCCTTAAAGCCGAGAATGCCTTAGATTTGGACCGCCCACTTCTAGGGACTTATAAGGCCCCATCACTGTAGCCTCTAACAATCTTTAATAGATTTTGTCTCCCAATACCCCGCTGCAGCAGGGCAGTGCCATCATCCCCATTGCACACATGGGGAAACCGAGGCACAGAGCAGCTAATTGGCTTGCCCAGCACCAAGCCTGTAGAAGAGCTGGGACTTGAACCTGCATCTCCCCTAACACATGTTAATGCCCTAACCACTGCAGCCTCCTTCAGGGCCAGTTCCCCAGCTCGGGCGCTCACTTTTCCTGTCTGCCATAGCCCTCCGGCATAACCGCCGCCGAGACGGCCACTACCAGGGCGGGGAAGCCATAGCCGAAGAGGCTCAGGTGCCCCATCTTGGGGCTGTGGGTGCTGAAATAGTTGACGACCCCGAGGTTGCGGACGGTGAGGAAGAGCACCACGGCCTCCAGGAACATCCAGGCGAAGCAGGCCAGGAAGAGGTAGTGCAGGATGCCAGCGATGACGGCGCAGGCCAGCTGGGGAGGGAAGAACGCCCGCGTGAGCGCAGAGATCCCGGGCTCCGCTTCTGCGTGGTTCCCCAGGCCAGGCTAGCACTTAGGGTGACCCCTAGTGGCAACACTATGCAGAACAGGGCGGGAGCTGCGAGCCAGAGAGAACCACAGGGTCTGTGTCCAGCAGCCCGGCTAAACAACGTTTGAGCATCGCCTCCATCTGACCATCAGGGGCACTGTGGCCACCACTGTCTTCTGCCACACAAATCCCAGCTCAGGGGGGCATTTCAAAGAGCCCACTGGAGGTCTGGGGCCTTCAGCCTGCACTAACGAGCCCTTCTCGAGGTCCTTTCTAGTCCTATAAGTCTTTCATTTAACAGCCTCTAATGAGCATCCCTGGACTTGGTTCACCTGCATCAAACCCACCCCTGGGAATTACCACTGTAAGAAGGGGTTTGCCCC